GAGGGGAGGCTGCAATGTTCTCTCTGGGTCCGAGTGCGCCCGCCGCTCCCCTCAAAGCAGAAGGACGCCGGGCTCCCGGGGCACACCTCTCCCAGCCCAGCCACTTGGCCGGCGCCGCGCCCCGCGCTCCACCACTTTGAGGAGCCGCTCTCCGGCCCGGGCCGCCCGGATCCGCCGCAGCTGCAACCACTGGGCTGCCCCTGCGAAACCCCAGCCCTGACTCCCGACTCCGAGATCGCCCAAGCCCCCACCCCCGGCCCTCGGCACCGCCCCCTGCTTAGCATTCGGCCAATGGGCGCGTGGCCTACCCGGCCCGGTGGGGAAGCCACACCCCCCCAATGACACAATATCTTTAATAGGATTAGCCTTCTGCTGTGTGCCTATACTAGTGCGCCCCGGAACCCTCGCTAAATGTCAAGGGCTCCAGCTGGGAGTGAACCACCTCCCATCGGGACGCTCCGGTCTCTTTAACCAAAAATGGGGGCGGCGAGAAGGGGCTGGAGGGAGCAACCACCCAAAGGAAGGCAGAAACGTCCGTGGTGGAAAAGAAGGGAGCGCGGCCACTATCACACAGAGGACTGTCCGGCTGGGGTGCACGGTCTCCCGGCTCTGCAGCTCCACCCGCGTGTGCGTGCACATACATACACACACACACGCCTCACACACGCTTGTGCACACGTGGGTCTGGCTATGGCGCTCCAAGAGACCGCAAGGGAGGTGGGAGGTGTGGGAAAAAGCACTCGGGGCCTCTGTGGTGCGCGCACGCGCGCGTGCACACAGCACACCCGCGGCCCCGCCAGTCTTCTGCAGCTGCCTGAGCCCCCGCCCCTGTGAGTTCCGAGTTGGGAAGCCGCTGCAGCTGGGATCCCAGCTCAATCTGGAGCGGTAGGTGGCCGGAGTGGGGGTCCTGTTTTGCCCCTCGGCGTCCTGCCCAGTGCTCTGGGCCCCCGGGCTGGGTCCTCTCCAGTGAGGAGCACGGGTAAAGGGCTGGTCAGGGAAGCCGCGCGCGGAGTGATCTTCTTAAGGGCTTGGGAACATGCAGGTGCAGCCTTCATCCTCGGGTTTTTGCAGGAGCCTGCAGTGCCGCCCCAGGGCCACCAGTTTGCAGACTGATGCCGGCTACAAAAGCTTGGGGGCGGGGATTCCCAGCTCCCTTTTCGGTCGCCATCCTTGTCACTCAGCAAGAGTGCTGAGAGCGCCTGAGAGTAAGAGTTAGGCTCGGTATCCCCAGCACCTGCCACTGGGCTGGGGTGGTTGGGGAGAAGAACACGCTTCAGTGGGAGGAGGTGGGGGGGGCTGGCATGGCCTTCTGGGATCTGATCTGACATTTATTCCACACCTGCTAGGTGACCAGCACAGCAGCGAGGCCCTAGAGGAAACAGAAGCGGCACTGCTCCCAACCCTTTGGGCACATACAATCTAGTCAGGAAGACAGGAGGCCATTAATCACCGAGGCAAGGAAGGGGGCAATGGCTGGAACAGAGCTGCCACGCTGACTGCGGCTGTGTGGGCAGGGGGACCTGAATCTCAGCCAAGGGGGCTTCCAGGCCCCCTGGGCTCTGCCCCACGCCTGGCCCCAAGGCAGGCCTCCATCCTCAAAGTGAGCGCTGCCAGGCTGCGGGCAGCTCAGGTTCTTGCTACTCTAAGCCCCTTCTCAACTCAGACCCAGTGGTCCTGCCCTGAAACTCGACCTGGGATGGGTCTGGGCCACCAGCACCTTCTCCCCTGCATGGGCGCCGTGGTCTGGAGGCTGCTGTCTCCAGATGAAGGGGGCAGATGTCTGGCTGGCTCGTGACTGAGCACCATGCCACCTGACTGGCATGCCTAACACCTTCTGTCCTCTTCACCTTCTCCCAGGCGGCGCCCCAGGGGCTCTCGCTGCCACTGCGTTCTCCCCACATTACCTTTGTTGATGCAGGCAGGGGAGGTCACCTGCCTGCTGCAGCCGGCATCCGGAGGCCGATTCTGCACACTTAGCTCTTTGGAGCTGTGTGATCAAGGGCAAGGTACTTTGCCTTCCTGAGCTTTCTCATGCCTTCCTCTTGAAGGGGGCTTTGAGAGTGCCTCCCTCCTACAGGAAGGAGATGTGAACAAAGGGAGCTGGCAGTGTGAGGGCACTCTGAGGACTGTACGCACAGAGCAAACGTAAGATGCGGTGATCGCTGTCCTCAGATGGAGACCTGGTTCCGGTCAAAGTCCTCCTACTCCTAGGCTGTCACACACACACACACACACACACACACGCACACGCACACGCACACGCACACTGCCCGCCATCACTGCCCACACCACCTTCTAATCTTTCCTGTGTCTCAACTCTCCCCAACTCACACCCTTGTCCAGTCCAGGCTAGCTCCGCCCAGGTCCCTACCTTGTTCCTCACTTCTGATTATAAAGAATTCTTGCCACCAACTACTCCCTCAGCAGCCCCGGCAGAAGCCTGGAGGGAAGAGAGTGGCGGGGACAGGAAGAGAGATGGGGCTGCCCGACTGAACAGGTCTACTCTGGTCACGCTTGTCAAAAGGGCACCCGAAGTTCCGCTCATCAGTGCATTAACAAAGCTGCAGTTCAATCCCATCGGGATACAGGGCCTCGTCAGTCTCAGAGCCATAAGGTGCCACTCGGGGGGAATGAGCCTGAGGGAGCATTGAAGTGCTCTGCTGAGAACCAGGTTAACTGTGTGAACCCACCCGTAGGTCCATAAGAGAAAGGGCCGAGGGAGCTGCTTCCATGAGACTGCAGCCTCAGAGGCCACTGGGGCCACTGGGGCCACTGCATGCTGCCATACAGGGTCCCAGGAGTCCGAGCGGGCTCAGCGGCGCACACCACAGCACACAGACCACCGCCACTCATTGTCACACTGGGGTGGCTTGCGTGTTACCACGCCACTGGAAGTGGTATTTCATATGCCAGCAGGGTCACCTCCGGTGGGCAGAGTATGGCAAAGCTTTCAGACGCAGACAGATTGGAAGAGAGGGCTGGTGATCTATTTCGCCAGTGAGAATCCTTTGGATCACAACAGAAATGGTCCAACACTGCTGGAAGCCATGCCCACTAAAGTGGAAGGCACTCAAGTGTACCAATGGCCATGAAGGTGGCACGGGACCAGGTAACGCTCCATTTGTCGCCCACGGGCCCACCACACGTCGGTACCATCTCAATGGCAATGAACAGTAAGACAGACATCAAGTTTTTACATGCAGGGGCTGACTTAATCCTCACGACACCATACAAGATAGGCATGGTTAAGATCCCCATTTTACAGGGCAGGACCCGTGATTTCAAACCCAGGCTCTTCACTTACTGGAGCTCTAGGCTTACATAGCTCCTGCCCTTGGGAACCTAGCAGGCTAACAATGTCTCAAAGCGCAACCGGAAGTCGAAAGTCCTGGTGCGCAGTCCTCCCAAAGGCCACGGAGTCAGGGGTCACGGGGAAGGCGTGGTCAGAAGTGGGGCCTCGGGACTGATCACTGACAAGGGATTGATCACCAAGAGATGGCATCTCCTAGAAGAGGAGAGGAAGAGGAAGAGGAGAGGAAGCTATTCCACCCGAGGCAGCAACTTGGGCAAAGGTGACAGGGGCCACAGGAAGGAGGGTTTCGAGATAAAGAGAGCATATACCATGTCAAAGGCACCCTGGTGGTGCTGCTGGGTGATCGCTGACCACACAGTCGGCAGTTCAAATCCACAGGCCATGCCACCGAAGAAAGATGAGGCTGTCTGCTCCCCAAAAGGGTTACAGTTCTGGAAGCCCTCTTCCAGGTTGCCGGGCATTGGAATCAACTTGCTGGCAGTGGGTGTGTTTGGGTTTTATGCCAGGATGGGACAAGCAGAGAGATGGGTGGTCTTTGGGCCCTCCCCCTGGAGGTGAACTGTCTTCAGTGGGGTCTGGCTAGGAAGAAGGGGTTGGGAGAGCGCTGGGAAGGCTAGGGCTCACACTGGGGGGACCCCAAGCGGTGCGGCTCAGCCCTGATGGAAGCAGAGAGAATGCTCCTGGAATCAAAGGTGAACTGCTCGGTGAGGCCTTCTATGACACACAAAGGCCAGGCTTTCTGCCCCCAGGAGCTTCCCACACAGTGAGACACATACCGAAGGAGTGTTCTAGGGGTGGGGCCTGGCAGCAGCTGTGGGGGTGGGGGAGGCGAGCAGACTAGCGGCTATGGGTGCGTCAAGGCCACGGATTTGGGGTGCAGAGGGACCAACCAGCCAGAAAAGGTGGTCCTAAGTGCCACCTCACAGGCCCCCCTCCTGATGCTCAAACACTTGAGCTAGAAGGGGTAGGCTGCCCTGGACGGGACCCGGAGAATGTGAACAAGGCAGGGAGCTGCCTTTCCTTTTAGTTTTTTTAACAACAACAAAAAAGTGAAGCCAGTACAGAATTCCCAGCGGCAGGAAGAGCCGTGAACATGTGAGGTCAACATGCAGTTTCTCTCCTGACTGGCAACAGGGGAGATGTGGGTTTCAGAGTAAATGCCAGACTCGCTGCCTCTCCCTGGATGTCACAGGCTGGCAGCACGAAACAGAGCTCGGAGTTGGGGCTCCCGTTCACCCACACACATCAGCCCTTCTGACCTGCCCCGGGGTATTTCTGTATTTAGCCAGATACCAGCTCCTTCGGCAGCCTATGCCTCCAGGCCAGTCCAGCAGCCTCACCTAGAATGTAGGTTAGACGCATAGGAGTGTACTGTCCTATGGAAGGTGGGAGGTGGGCTGCTATTGCAAGAGGGGA